TTGAAGAAATTTCCAGGTAGAGAATGTGATATAAATATTTAATGATATTTATAGTGATATTCAATGCTACTTTTTTTGGACAAGGACTTGAAAATAACCTGTGAGATCACCCAATTTTCTGCTACTATTTGTACATTACCATGTAAAACATTACTTAGATTTGGAACTTCTTATAGTAGCATTTTATTTACATTTATTTTAGCATCTTTTTTCTTAATTTTTTTAGATTCTATTGCATTTATTGTTTTTCTGTTTTGCATAGAACCTTTATAGATATTGGCTTGTATTTGGCCTTAGAATTGTAATAGATTTGATTTGATTTGAAAAGGAGATTATAAAATCCATGGACCACACAAATACTTTAGAGGACTTTTCAAGATCTTTACCAAATGAAGCACCAGACAGAAACTGACAAGATTAATTTCAACAGAGAGAAATGCAAAGTCCTACATTTTAGCGGGAAAAATGAAAAGTTTAGTTTTAGGAGGAGGGATAGAAAATCATACTGAGTAGGAACAGTGCATACAAAAAGGAGCTGGGCATTTTGATTGATCAAAAGTTCCATACAACCAAAAGTGTGATGCATCTGCAAAAGAGAGAGGGAGGGAGGGAGGAGAAAAAAAATGAAACTGTAAGCTGCATCAACAGCAGGAACAGTGACTGCTAGATTTTCAATGACGTTTGAAGGTATAGTTTTGGGTATATGGGGTTGGTAGCTCTTTTTTAAAGAGTTATGGAAGGTATATGTAGAACATATGAAAAATCACAAAAGTAAGATGGTAATACGTGTGTGTAAGAAGTGTGTAAGAAAAGTTGAGAAATTGCCTCAGCCAGAGTAATGTTATATTGCAATTATTGTTTTTTGGTGTTTTAAATAGTTACTGTAAATGAATGCTTTATCTGTTGCGCTCTATGCAATCTTGCACGTTGATGCAGTTTACAGTTTCACTTTTTTTCTCCTCCCTCCCTCTTTTGCAGATGATTATCTTTTACAGTAACTTCCCGGGTATTGATGTTAGGCTGATTGGTCTGTAGTTTCCTAGATCTGGGTTTTTGTTTTTTCTTCCTTTTTTGATGTGGGAACCTCATCAGCTCTTTTCCAGTCCTCTGGTAGTTCCCCAGTGCTCCAGGAGTTTTGAAAGATATGGTACAATGGTTCTGAGATGACATCTGTCAATTCCTTTAGAACTCTGGGATGTAATCCATCAGGTCCCAGTGATTTGTATTTATCAAGATCAGACATGTGTTCTCTTACTTTTTTTTTTTTTTTGCTTATTTTAACTTTTATTTCTAGTCTGTTTTTTACAATTATGTTTTTGGTAGGTTGGGTTATAGTTTCTTTTTGCATGAAGACCAATGCAAAGAATGAGTTAGTAGCTCTGCTTTCTCTCTGTTGTCTGTTACTTCTTTGCCATTTTCTCTCTGTAGTGGACTGACTGTTTCCTTGATTTGTTTTCTTGAAAGAAACTTTTTTATTATCTTGGACTATTGTCACAAGTCTTTCTTTCTTCTGAAGCTTTGCTTTCCTGACTTCATCTTTGCAGATTCTGGCTATCTGCTGATATTCTGCCTTAGTTATGTGTCACTCTCCATTTTTTGTACTTGTCTTTTTTGTCCTTTAGTTTATCAGAGATATCTTTGTGCAGCCATGCTGGTTTCTTCTTGGATTTCTTATTTTTGTTTTTCAGTTGTATTGTGCTGGTCTGGGCTTTTATGATAATATTTTTCAGAGTTTCCTAAGCTTTCCCCTTTAGGATTTTCATCCAAGGAATCTTTCCCAAGTTCTCTCTGAGTTTGTTAAAATCATCTCTTTTAAAATCTAAGACTCTGGTATGATTGTGTTTTATTGCTTCTGTTTGCATTATGTTGAATTCCAGTATGACATGGTCACTCTCACCCAAGGTTCCTGCAGTTTCAACTCCCTCTATCACTTCTTCTCTGTTTATGAGAATTAGGTCCAGTATAGCTGTCCCTCTAGTTCCCTCCTCTATCTTTTGGACAATAAAGTTGTCAGCTAGGTTGGTTAGGAACCTATTCAATTTCTTACTTGGTGCAGAATTAGTCTTCCAGTTGATGTCAGGGTAATTGAAGTCCCTCATTACTATTGTAGTGTGTTTCCTACGTATATTTGTTATTTCCTACATATATTTGTTAATTGGTTAGCAAAAAGTATATCTTTTTTAAAAAAATATATTTTTAAATATACAACAAAATCAATACATGAACAGTGTGGCCCCTGGGTATAATTCATTTTGATACAAACATCAATCATAATCATTGATGTACATGATTTTTTAAGGCGATTATTCAATATTTCAATATTCCATTTTAATGCCAATGATGTTATAAACGTACATGGTAATACTATCATTCACCCTCTAGTTTTCACATCAAATTGTTACTTATATTTTATTATATAAAAGAAGGGGGAATTATATCCGCTAATATTCCCACTAAATCAGGTCACTATTACTAATCCTAATATATAAAGGTGTGTATTCTAATTTCTTCCTCTATAAATTTCTAATCAGGCCATCGTTATATTAGAAAAAAAGAATATATATATATATATATATATATATATATATGTGTGTGTGTGTGTGTGTGTGTGTGTGTGTGTGTGTGTTTATGTAAGTTTTCACGGGTATGTATGTGTGTATAGTTAATATTTCGGGTTTCTTCCCGTGTAATTGTGGATATATCCCTAAAAGGGTAAAAGCGACGTTTCGGCAGAATCCCATCTGCCATCATCAGGCTTATGCCAGTAGTCATTTTGCACTAACTGACGCTGGAATTTCAAATCTGGTGCTGGTATTCTGGGATGGCTCCACCTTTTCATTCTGATTGGTTGGGAGTCCCAGTATGTGTTTATTGGCTTGGCTTCGGGTGTATGGTCGGTTTTTCTCCACTAGGTGGCAGGGCTTTATCTTTGTGGCTGGTTTGAATATGATTTGGTTGGGATTTTTTTGTGCAATGTTTGGTCCATGTTCCACATATGGTGTCAAGATTCGTCTATCTATGAGAGCAGGTTTCCAAATAGTAGGCAGACGTGAAGTGTCATCCCGTTTATTCATGCAATATGGTCTTTTTTTTCCATTTCTATTGCTTCTCTGATCATCCTGCCATTGAGATGTTCTATTTTTGCAACTGTTTTTGTTTTATTAAAATTAATGTTGTGTCCTGTTGTATTTATATGTTGAACTAATGATGATAAATAAATAAATAAATAAATAAACTCAATACAAAAGCAAGAACACACATCATCATTAGTTCAACATATAAATACAACAGGACACAACATTAATTTTAATAAAACAAAAACAGTTGCAAAAATAGAACATCTCAATGGCAGGATAATCAGAGAAGCAATAGAAATGGAAAAAAGACCATATTGCATGAATAAACGGGATGACACTTCACGTCTGCCTACTATTTGGAAACCTGCTCTCATAGATAGACGAATCTTGACACCATATGTGGAACATGGACCAAACATTGCACAAAAAAATCCCAACCAAATCATATTCAAACCAGCCACAAAGATAAAGCCCTGCCACCTAGTGGAGAAAAACCGACCATACACCCGAAGCCAAGCCAATAAACACATACTGGGACTCCCAACCAATCAGAATGAAAAGGTGGAGCCATCCCAGAATACCAGCACCAGATTTGAAATTCCAACGTCAGTTAGTGCAAAATGACTACTGGCATAAGCCTGATGATGGCAGATGGGATTCTGCCGAAACGTCGCTTCTACCCTTTTAGGGATATATCCACAATTACACGGGAAGAAACCCGAAATATTAACTACACACACACACACACACACACACACACACACACACACACACACACATACAATATATATATATATATATATATATATATATATATATATATATATATAATTTCTTTCTATCCATCGTCATGGCAATGTCATTCTTTTTTTCTTTTATATTGACCCATATGCATTCTAGTTTTCATCTTTGGTTTCATGCATTTCTGTAGCAGTATAGTGGTCTTTTACTTGTAGTGCAACTCCACCTCCTCTTTTAAGGGGTCTTTTACATTTTATATAAAATATTTTAGAAGCTGTGTCTTTTCTAATATACAATACTCTGTGGCAGTAGGGATTAGAGGTGCAGACATGCATTTAATATGGGCCAATCTCTCTTGTTATTTGCTTTAGAAATGTCTCATTGAATAATATGATCCTATAAAACCTATTACTTTTAAAGCTTTTTTTAAAAAATCTGCCATTTGTGAACATATACCATATTCATATAAATATACAGTATATTCAGTTTCAAAGATTATACATAGTATCAGGGCAGGAGTGTCTACTTTCTTTTTTATTAAAAACCCGGAACCCCCCCACCCAAAAAAAAAATCTGGAGAGAGATACAGGAAATAGAATTAAAGAATTCTGAGCTCAACAATTATTTGAACTCTTAGCTTGAAATAAAGCTAATCGTCTTTCTAACTAACAATTTAGGGTGAAGATAAAGTTCTTGCTATTGTTGTTAAATAACTAAGAATGCATTGCAAATCACCACAGTATCTACCAGTAGATGGAAACCCATGTTCTGCCTTCCATATCCACAATATATTAACCTTCCTAAATTTGGAGGAGTCGGTTTGCAACAGAGAAGCAATTTGGCCTTAGCCCATTAGTTTTTTTTCCCATGATCACCCTCCTTTTATATTTTATGTTCATATTTTAAAGTTAAGAGGGCTAAAGGCCTTCACTTAAACTTTGTTTCTGGTCTGTATAAATACCTACTGAAAATGATGACTCACATTATCAAAATCTCAGAAATAATGACACTCTTATGCAACTCCTCTGATGCAGATTGGGGTGAAAAAACAGGGTTTTCTTCCATAATGTGAGAAAGAGCAAAGCATGCATTTCCTATGCCTCTCTACCCTTTGAAACCACTTAGTAGTGTTCAAAAGCACCACTATCACCAGGGATATTTTCAGGAGAAAGAGAGACCTACCTGCCAGACAGCAAGAAGGACAAACGATCTATGGATGTCTTGCCCTCCACAGCATAGGTTTGATCTTTGGCCAAAGGCAAGACCTGTTCTTCACAGCACTTGATTATTTCTTTATAAGTTTGGAGAGGCACTTGCAAAGGCTGGCAAATTTGTTTGTACAGGAGATCAAATTCTTCAGAAAAAGTGTCTTTACGGAGTTGGTAAATTAAATGTGCTAGCTGAAACAAGCAGATCAAAAATAAAAGTACATTCCAAATGATAATGTCTAATCCACAAGCGTTGAGCCATCCCCATACGACAGAGCATAGAAAGCCAATGAACAACAACCCAAAAATATAGATGGCACCAAAGGTTCCACTACCTCCCATATAGCCAAGGAGGAGGAACAAACTAGCGAGGTGATAGGCTGCTCCTTCCATAATGTATTTCCAGTTCTCACACAAAACCGGATTAAAAATTATCCGATCCAAAAGTGTGTTTTCTTCATTCATTTTCCTGTAACTTCTACACCTAACTCACTTTGAAATTAATGGAATACACAGAAACCAATTCCTATACCTATACTTCTATGGAGATTTTAGAGGAACATTTCTGAAGTTATGTATTTGCATCAACAACTCCTGAAGTTCTCTTCCACAAATTGCAATACCCAGCGTTCTTGATGGGATTTGAGACCTTGTTGATGAACTTGTAGAAGCATGAGAAATTCTATCCTGGAAGTGCCTTTTGAGAACTGGAGTGAAAAAATCAAGAGTAGCTAAGAGTTTGCAGCTTGTTTTCTCCCCTGCCTTGAGATAAATTAAAATAGACACAGTGAAAGAGCAGCAGGGAGGGTTAAAGGGGTGGGGAAGACAAGCAGAGGGCACTAGTGTTTAATTTGGAATGTATAGCACTAAGGCATGGAAAGAAGAGAGAGGCGCTACATAGATAACCATGTTTGGAATTGAAATCCAAGCAGCAAAGGCTAGAACTGGAAGAGAGAGCAGCCAGACATTTGCCACTTAACATAACCCTGAGAACTAGATTACAGAGTATTGTTAGTGAATACTGCACAGAGTTTTCAGTTTATTCTCAGATATACTTTATCACCAAAGAGTATTTTTACATAGAGGAGGAGGAGGAGAACTAGGACAACTAAAAGCAATAAATTAAGAGACTAAAAAGGATTTGAATAAGTATCTTTATAGTATGATATACAATCATACAGAAAGAGTAGTATGGTGGCCTAATGGTGAAGACTCTCACCTCCCACTCGGAAGCTTGAGAGTTAAATTCTAACTAGTGGCAAATATTTCTCTCCTAGGGCACAAATGAAAAATATCTCCTGCTAACTCTGTGTGGGGTCAGGAAGGGCATCCAACCAGTAAACGCTCAGCTTCATCCAGCTCAGACCCCAAATTAAGGGATTATAGCAGGGGTGAAATGTTACCTGTTCAGATCGGTTCATCCGAACCGGTAGTAAAAATGTTACTAATTCGCCGAACTGGTAGTAAAAAAATGTAAAAAAAAAAATTCCAACAATCAGCCAAGCAACGTGCAATCGTCGGAACTTTTAAAAGCATTTTTAACTACCGGTTTTGGAGAATAAGTAGTAAAAAATGCTTTTAAAAAGTAAAAAAAAAAGGCTCAGACGATCGCGTGGCACAGCTGTGATCGTCCAAGCCTTTTTTTTACTTTTTACTACGTATTCACCCAAATTGGTAGTAAAAAAATGCTTTAAAAAGGTTTAAAAAGGTTCCCAAGATCACAGCTATGCTGCGGGATTGTCGGAACCTTTTTTAAAAAAACTTTTTTAAAGCATTTTTTACTACCTATTCGCCCAAACCGATAGTAAAAAATGCTTTAAAAAAGTTTTTTAAAAGGTTCCCATGATCGCATGCTGCAGCTGATCCCCCCCCCGCTGTTCTACTTACCTTCCCAAGCCTGCTTTTGGTGCATACTGCACATGTGCATGTTGCATGCGTTTGGTGCGAACTGTGCATGCACGTGCGTAGTGTGCATTTGGCGTGCAGCGTGCATGTGCGGCCAACAAACCGGTAGTAAACCGGTTCAGATTTCACCACTGGATTATAGGATCGTAAAAAGAGAGTTTTATATAATAATACAGAAGAGGCAGACAGCTGGGATACTTAAAAGAATATCAACAGAAAATCGAATAGGCAAGGACAATTCCTTTTCTGAAATTGAAGCTGGTTTCTCCCACCGCAAGTAATTTATGATTAAAATGAGAAGATTGTCTTCAATTAATTGAGAATACATTAAATGAAGCAGGTAAGAAGTTTGGTGTCCAATTTTCCATTTGAATTGATGTACCTTATATTCAAGAATTGTCTTCCATTTGGGTAAATATCAGCTATAGAAAGAAAATATAGTCTTTATAGTACTTTCTAGGTTTGCTGGCTCCCTTGTTTTGTGGAATACTTTGAATCTATTCCTGGCAACATGGGTCCAGAAATAGGGACAAAGTTTGTGAATGTGCTGCATCTTGCATATTCTTTCTTTCTTTACTCTCCAGTTTACATTCTTCTCTCTCTCATTCTAAATCTAATTTTGGATTAAATTTAAGCCAAAGAAGCATATTAGTAATCTGGCACAGTACAAAAGGAACAATTCTCCCTACTCCTAACCCGGATAATTTTTGTCAAATTTGTTCTGTACTCAGTGGAAAGTTTGTTTTGTCATTGTTGTTTAATTATCAGAACTTTGTGATAATTGCTTCAGGATGGCACCAATGTATTATTTTTCCAATGCAGTGAGATAAAGTGACTTTTATATGTCATACTAATCTTTTTCAGCTATTCTATTTATGCAGACTTTTACTTACCAATTTATTTAAACTGTGACTTAAAGGAAATTGCAAACTAGGTTGGGGGAAAAACTAAAGAGTAGTGTTGTACCCACTGCATTTATTGGGTGAATTTTGATAAAACCAAAATTCATCAGCACTTGGCAGGATTTTAAACCCATTGAAATTTCCATGTTTGTCCTACCCTTAGTAGTACATCCTCCTTATCAATCCCATTGAAAGGTCATAAGTACGTTTCATCAAATATATCCAAATACATATTATCTTAATATTTTGAAACTGCTTGGCAGCATAACAAGAATAAAAACAAATATTTCTTTTTTGAATGGTGTTATGAATCACATGCTCTCTTCAGAACATAAGCAACCGGAATGAGTTTACTTTAGGCTTAAAATTGGGGAGAGGAGAACAAGAAAGTTAAACAATGAAAATAAAAGAGCTCAAGGTATTTTTATATGATTTTTATTAAAATGTTTTTAAAAGATTAAAAACTAATGCAAACTATTATAAAGAAGAAAAAGGGAAAGCAAGCAAGCAAAGAGAAGGTAAAAAGTGCAAAAAAAGAAAAAAGTTGCATTAAATTAGGAAAAGAAAAAAGATACAAAGAAGTAGTTTCTAATGTTCTTCACATATTTAACCTGTCTAAAAGTTACATAATATTTTTTGTGTATAATATATCCTGTCTAATCATGAAAACTATAAACTACAAATTCCCCCCCCCTTTTTATGCAAAAAGTTCATAAGAGGTTTCCAGAGTGCCAAAATGTAGTGTGTCTTTCTGTAATCAAAGAAGTTCATTTTATCAAGATAGTCCTCAGGAACTAATGGCATTTGGGACTAGAATTTCCATCATCTGCCTATCTTCTGCCCATCTGGTTGCCTTATATTCCATTAAGGTGTAAGGTGAGGAGAGCACAGGGCAGCAGCGCCAGTTGGGTGGCATGGCAGATGCAGCACTGAGCAGCAGGGAGGCTAGACAGCCATGGCAAAGTGAGTGCAGGGTGCAGGGCTGGTAGGGTGAGCAGAGCATATGACAGCAGAGCTGACAAGATGAACCAAGTACAGGGTGGCAGATACAGCTGGGGCTTTGCACTGTGGTGCTATGGTGGCAGGTTGTGGCATGGGGCTTAAGGTGGCACTCCTTGGTAGTGGCTCTAGGCTGAAGTAGAAGCCTGGAAGCAGGGGCAGCTGGCTGAGATTGCGGAGAACCCTGGCCACTTGGTCAGCACCAGTGCTGCTGCCACGATCAAGGAGTGCCAGTTGCATGATGATCAAAAGGGCAGAGATGGTGGAGGAGTTAAAGAGTTAAAGCATGTATTCAAAATTCCTAAGTGTGGGCAGGTTGACAAGCACCTGAATGTTGATCAAATGCCCATGGGATGATATAACAGCTGTAATGTGCAAATCAGTATAGGAACCTGAAAGAAGCAGAATGATTTCCATATATAGAAAAATACTGAGATGAATAGAATATTTTAGTGCAAGCTAGTTTTAGTCAGAGTACCATTTTGTTGTGGGACTTAAAAGATACTGGATTAGAAATGAGGAGACCACAACTCCTGTTTTAGTAACAAAAAGCAGCTGGGGGATTTTGGGCTAACTGTAAGCACTCTCAATTAAGAAAGTACTGTCCAGAAAGGGTAAGGGGTAGTATTGTCATAGTGCAGTTTTCATGCATGCAAAAAATATATATGCTGGCCATTCTATTTCCCCCCACATTGGTGAAGGCCTCCAGAATAATGCTACCAGGAGCTATCTCAATGAGCATGACCAGGCAACTGATAACATTAAGTTCCAGGCAAAAATTAGAGGTTTATAAATGAGGTTAACTTGACTTGAACATACAGTACAGGGTCAGGATACTCGATTAGGGTATATTAGTATTATAATCTCTTAACTGCTTGCCTTAAAGAAGTATGAAGGAAAGTAAGTCCTTTTAGAGAGCTGTTGCAACCTGGATGTCTGTGAGAATGTGTTTGGATTACTCAATGCACTCTACATGGGGCTGCCCTTGAAGATCATCTAGAACAACTGATCCAGAATGCAGCAGCACACAAGAGTAAGTTAGCCCAAGTAATACCTCTGTTGTGCAAGCTGCACTGGCTTTCAGTTTTGTTCTGGGTGCTAAAGAAAGTGCTGCTTATCAGCTTTAAAGGTCTTTTCAGCATTCCCAAACTTTTCCAGGCCTGGGGGGGGGCATGAGTGGCAGGCACAGGCACGCACTCACAACTCCATTTGCGCACAAACGGAAGGCACTTGCATTTGCATTTGAAGCTCCACTCACAAGGAGAGTGCTTGTGCAAATGGAGCTTTGCAAGAGCACAAGTTCCCTGTGCTCAAGTGCCTTCCACTTGCACAAGTGGAGCTTTGCGTCCGAGCACATAGGCCCACTATTCACTTAAGTGGAGCTTCACACAAGCGCTTGTCCGCTGCTCGCATGGCCCAGTTTCAAACAGGCTGTGATCTGGTAGTGGGCTGCAGCCTGGGGTTGGAGACCCCTGGTCTGTAAGACACCTATACTTTTCCCTACGAATTTGTATTGGTCCTACCAGGTCAGAGAGAGTGGGTCCTAAATATTGCTATCTGATGGAAGCTAGGTAGTGTGCCTTTTTATGGCAGTCTCTTCCCTATATAATACTTTGGTCTCCTGAAATTCAGCAGACCTCTATCAAAGTCCATTTTATATTACTCCAGATTGGTGGCTAGGGATAACTGTCTTAACTTTACTTCCAGTAAAATGTTAGGCAATTCTTAATGGTGGGAAAGGTGGTCAAATCTTCTTTGCTTGTTTTACTAGAAACTGGACAGAATGTTTTAATTTGTATTATTGCACTAAACAGGGGGCTGGACTTGATAACTTAAATGGCTTTTCCAAACCCTTCATGCTTTTAAATTAAGATGTAAGCAATTCTTCTGCCACTTTAATAGTCTTCAGGAAACTGAATAAAACTCAATCCATGGAGACAAATTTATTAATTCAACAAAATTACTTGTATTCAGACCAAATTGCTTTATTGCTTGCATTCATAATATTTTATATACAGGAAAGAAATAATCCTCTATTTAAATTAGAACTTTAAATACTAAAAATAATTTATTATCACAATTTTCCAAATCCAAAGAATAGATTAGCAATATATTGTTGTGATTTTAAAACTTATTTTAAATATTTTTCTCCATCTTCTCATAAAAAAAACATCAAAAAGCAATTCAACCAGTTGTGGAAATAAAGTTTCCAATTATCCACAGTAAATCACCTAAAGGAAAAAGGGGGAAAAAACGTAAGAAACCATTTGACTAACTATGTACTACTAAAACTCTCATTCCCATAAATTTTAATTGGAGGAAACAGTGCATCATAGGGCAACAATTTCTGAACCATTTGAGATACATCAGATGGGTTAACTTACAGAATGCATCCCAAATCCAGTACCCATGACTCCCATGGAATTAAATTTGGCAAATTTTATAAAGCATTTTATAACATAACAAGTTTATGACATGATACAAAATTTATACACAGAATTTTTTGCTAATTGCTGAAAGAAATCATCAAAATTTCTGATTCTCATGTATATTTATATATATTCAAACTCAAATCATATTCAGGATGAATCTTTAGTCATTGTTCACAGAAAAAATGATGATGCATTTGAACAGTTAAGTTAAATGGAGCAACTCCCTTTCCAAAAAAAAACCTCAAGATTTTAAAGGAACATAAAAATTCTTGTAGTGTTTTTGCCAAATATTTAATATGTTTTATTACCATTCTTACAAATCTTGCAAAGTTTATTCCATTTTGCTGGCAGAGAGTATTACTCTTTGTATCTGCCCTATTCTAGGGCTTGGGTTAAGGCAGGGTATGCTATGTTAACTGAGGGTCCATGCAGTATGTGGTGTATCATGAATTTGTACTTTAGTTGATGGTTGACGTGTATATGATAATGGTTTGGACTATGCATGTGAACATTTTTTCAATTAATCCTATTGTGTGAGCCTCAGATTTTAGAAGCAGCATGCAAATGTTTTTAGCAGACAAAAAAAATATAAGTTGAACATATTTTCTATAGTATTTCAGATTTCTTAGCAAAAAGATGGCAACAATTAGGATAACACAGGAGATTGGTCCTGCAGTTCCTTCAATGGAGAAAGGGAAGCAGCAGGCCTCTGACAAGTCAAAAATCACAGTTAATGTATAAATATATATCAATTAGAATTAAAATAGAACACAGAATTCTGGGGACCTGCTTCACATATAGTAATCCTACACATTTATTATTTTTTTCCTTTAGGTTTAATATATTTTCAGATTTTTCTAAATCCACAAATCAGCAGCAGGATGTGAATCCTATGGCAGGGTTATCATATGTCACTAGATATATGTAGGGGAATCTCTTTTCATTTTGTTCATAGAAATCAAAATGAGAATACTCTGTTATTGGGAAATAACAGGCTTTGGAAAATAGCATTTTTGGAACATATTCCTGCAGACAAAAGGTGACAAAGTTCATTGATGACATATTCTTAAACCTTTTTTATATTCCTAAAGTGTATATTAAAAGTGATCCAATCTGTGAGGATGCAGCCAATGTACCATTGATGATAACCTTGAATTTATGTGTTAAGTAAAATATGTGTAAAACTAAAGTATAAAATTATACTCCCCCCACAAAAATAACATATATTAGTAAGAATACTTGGCTCATTCCATTTAATTGTGCCAAATCCTATTTCCAACTAGTAGAAATAGAGCAGATAAAATATAAGGAGCTATTTCATCCATTAATTAGGATATCTATATCTCTGGAGAAATTAAAAAGTTTTAGGCTTAAAAAGGGAAATAAGAAAGATTGTTAGAAAATATGATTGAGAGAAGAAGAAAAACTATTTAGTTTCACTGCAGCAAAACAGGGCTATTTTAGATTTTCAAACTAAAATTAAAATTTTCAAAACAAATTTGAACGACAAATTGGAAACAGAAAGAAAATACATTACACATATTACAGATTATGCATGTTTCGCACCCACAAAAGTTTCTATACTCACAAATGCAGTGGTAATTGCTAGGAAATTATATTTTTCCCATATTTTTTGATTAAATCATGTTTTGGTAAATAGCAATTTAGTCACCTACCTACGAAAGATTCCAATATATGACTCATCTTGTTCATATCTTAAAACCCAAAGCTCTCATGCACTCCTTGTGAGCTTCAATAAGATGGCCACAGTTTTCTTCTCCTTTTTCGATGATGCTGCAACACAACATTTCCCCTTTAAGTGATTTCACAAATCAAGGCCTCAACTAAGTTGATGAGCACTAGATTTCAGCTCTGACTAGCTGTAATACTCCTGTTACCAAGTTGTTCTCCTTCTCTTATCCAAGTCATTTAATATAGTCAGATCTTATTTTAATTGGCTTAACTGGCAAATAAAAAACACTGGTGACAAGATTTCATTCTCTCCCCTTTCTTATTCAATCTTTATGCTTAAATAATAATGAGGAAGCTACCATATTTTTCGGAGTATAAGACGCTCCGGAGTATAAGCACGCATTAGTTTTTGGGGAGGAAAACAAGAAAAAAAATTCTGCCTCTGCCTACCAGCATCCATCGGTATTCATCTGGCTAGTGTCTTTGCAGCAAACAGCAAGCAGCCTGGTTAGCTTCAGCATACTATTGCAGCCTGATTTAGCACAAACAGCTGATTGGTGGTTAGATCAGCCTCCCAGAATACTGTCAATCAGCTGTTCCAGGCTGTGGGGTTAGGCGGGCTGCAGATTTGATTTTGGATACTGATGTATCAAGTTGCTTCCAAGATTCATCAACTTAATGTATTTATATAGGCTTGTATTTGAAGATGGTTCAGAATTTTCCATTCAATAAAAATTTTGCTACTTCAATGTTGATGCAAGCCACTAGACCAAAACATATAGAAGTGATAGTTGCAATTACTATGGGGACCTTTTTAAATCCAATTTATGGGTTTCTTATAGGATCATCTGTCCCCAATCATCTCTACCCCATTCAACAGAAGGGCCATGCTCTGGGTACCACCACTCATGGAGTATTGGCTGGCAGAGCCCAGGAACAGAGCCCTTTCTACCACAAGACCTTCCCTTTGTAACAATATCCCCTTAGATTAGCCCTATTTCTACTAACTTTCTGTAAAGCCCTGAAAACTGGATACCCAAGCATGGGGCCCTGGGCATGTGACAGAGTCCATTTCCTGGCTATCTTGATAGTGTTTTATGATGCTCAGCTGCTGTGTTTTATTTTTTATACTCTCTATTTTATCTTATTGTGAGATGTATGTATGAAAGATACATTTATCTTACATATGTAAGATAAATGGCTTTATAAATTGAATAAAGAAACAAATGAACTTGAAAAACTCAATCTGTTTGAGGTTTGGAATATTTTCTTGGGAGGTACCAATGACCACCTCAAAATAGCTGCCACAGAGCTATATTGATTTATAGAATTGCTGACATTTAGGCATGATTGCTCACAAAGGCCTCATTTTAAATAGAACACTTCACACTCAATTGATTTCCCCATTATAGAGAATTCTTGTTATATGCAGTAATTGCATTCTATAAAGTTGCTGCGAATGCTGAATTACTGAATATCAACTGGGAACGTGTGTGTTGGGTGACTCAATTTTTTGTTCCTCGGCATGTTTTCAAAAGTATTGATTTTGCAAATACATTTTAGCGAGTAGATAAATTTGCAATATGGAACCTACAAATAACAAGAATCAACTGTAAAATAATTTTCAATATTAACCTGGGCCACCCTAACAATATATGGATTTTCATTTTTAAAAACATACACATATACACAGAAACAATACCCAGAATCATTATACAGTTCTAGATTTCTGAAATGAATAAAATTAATTTAACATGAAGAAATTTAAGACCTGGAAGCAAGTTGTATTAAACAGCAGAAGAGAGTGGCAGACTTGAGCTCTGAAGAAGGAAAATGAAGCAAACAATGCCAAAGAGGTTCACAGCTGCCCACAACTCTTTAGCAAAGTTATCCAAAGTGACCTTATTGTTTATGAAGCAGCACAGTGAGTGCACTACAAGCCCAAAAGCAAAACAATGCAAACATTAGTGATGTTGGGGGGCACTGTTCTAGGAAGAAACTTCCCATTTTAAATCTAAAATTAGATACCTCCTCCTCCTAAAACTTTAGAGTTTAAAGATTTAAAATGGGAAGTTTCTTCCTAGAACAGTGCCCCCCAACTTTTTGGGCACCAGGGATTGGTTCCATAGAGAAAGATTTTCCCACAGATCGGAGGGGGTTGGTTTTACATGCTGCCTGCATCCTGCTTTGCTTGTTTGTGTGGACGGGTTGCTGGCATGCTGCGGACCGGGGTTGGTCCACGGACTGGAGGTTAGGAACCCCTGTCCTAAACCACCACCAAAACTGGAAAAAATAAAAGGATGGATGGATGGATGATGGATGGACGTACCGACAGAGATGTAGATGTAGATATACAGATATGTTTCTCAACCACCTTTGAAAATAATGGGTGGTAGCTGTCTTCCTTTTTCTAGAGGAGATTAAGGTAAAGGTAAAGGTTCCCGTCACACATATGTGTTAGTTGTTCCCAACTCTAGGGGGTGCTGCTCATCTCCATTTCAAAGCCAAAGAGCCAGAGCTGTCCGAAGACGACTCCGTGATCATCAGGCCGGCATGACTAAATGCCAAAGGTGCACGGAACGATGTTACCTTCCCACCAAAGGAGGTCCTTATTTTTCTACTTGCATTTTTTATTTGCTTTCAAACTGCTAGGTTGGCAGAAGCTGAGACAAGTAATGGGAGCTAACCCTGTTATGCGGCACTAGGGATTCAAACCGGTGAACTGCCGACCTTTTGATTGACAAGCTTAGCATCTTAGCCACTGAGCCACCACATCCTTATCTTTAGCGGAGATTAAAAAGAGATAATTCTGTATCTACCAAGCTTCTTTCTCCAGAGAGTGAGAGATGTTGAACAGTGAGAAGACAGATGATTTAATTCCATTAATTTTTAAGCCGGCAATTGTTGGAATTAAGCAGTTTCTGTCCAGGAACATAGATACCTTATTCTGGCTAAAGGGAAATAAAATCACTAGTACAACTGCTTCAGGAAAGATTGGGAGAATTCCGCAGTTTTGCAGGAAGAGGTTAAAATCTGGATTCATATAGAAAAGAGAGACTGAACAGCCAACCTCCTGCCTCAGCTTCTCCTCCCCTTGATTAGTTTTGGTTTGGTTGGGAGCAAAACATGGCATAGACACATAGATTCACCAAACTTTCAGAAGCAGGGTATCCCCTTGCTGTCTTTTTTCTCTTCATGCTGGAGACTGCGGTATTGTGCAAGACACTCACAAAACATTTGCAAAGGAGAAACTTAGCCTTCAACTTGCTGCTATCAAAAACTTGAGGGGGTTCAAGACATATTACCAAGTGCAGGGACACCCTCATCTACCCAGAGCTAGGTTTGTTTGGGTTTAAATTTGAGGCAAGTTAAGCTATAGTATGCTTCGCTTATTAACTGCTGTTGTTTTTTTATTTCTAAAAAACAGTTGTCTTAGTAAATCTTGTTTTTAACTAGGTATTAGAAATTGTGAGAATCTGCCCACATATATTTTAAATATATAGTAAAATGAATTGAAACAATGTTAAGCTATATAGTTTCAAAACTGTAATCAGCAAGTTCCCCTGAGACTTGTAAATTTTAGGATTAAAGAATAACTTCTGTATATTTGAATAAGATTAACCTAGTCTCTGCTTCTGCAGTGTTTTCGGGAAATGAGGTTGTTATATTCGAGTTAAAGCACATTTATTCAGCAAGTTTTTAACAGTAATCAGGTGGTAAATTACTCCCTATTTAAAACTAATTTGGCAGTTCAATAATTAGCCACTTCATAGTCTATGACTGAAGCCACAACATATTTTGTACATAACTAAAGTGCCATAATGTGATTTTATTCTTTCCCGGGTAGTCTCTTCCAATAAACCGTTTGTACTAGCACTGGCAGGGCTTCATTTTTGAATTTTTGAAAACCGAGTTTAAAATATTTAACAAGTCTTTCAAGTTTAGGAATGAGTTCTTCTATTTTCTGATTATCACTTCTACCCAGGAAGAAATAACGCGTTCATTTTAGAACAAGACGCGGGACTATTTTACGACTTAATCGAGAAACAGTACACCTCTGTTACTCCAGCAATGAGGAGGCGCTTTCTCCTATCAGGGAACAACTGGGACCAACTTTCTACTAGACATTTCCCGACGTTGGTCCAGTCTGGAAGAAGCGCTTAAAAACACCCAGGGGGAATTTGCTTCTGCGGTTTGGCTAGCGATAGTTCTATACCGTTTGCCGAAGCGCAAAACTGTCCATCGCTCCCCACGCTTCCGCATGTCACGGCGAGCTCCCTAGTTTACCCACGTGCCCTTTCTCCCGTAACCCCCCGTTACCCACCAAGCGTCGCGCGCCTGCTTTGTCTCCGGACAGGCACAGCACGGCTTCAGCGAAGGCGGCGGCTTTTGCTCCGCCTGAGCTGGGGCTTGGAGACCCGCCGGATCGCAGGAGGCCAGGTTCGACATCCCTTCTACTTGCGCATGCGCACAAGCCGCCAGGACTCAGGCCTACGGGGAAGGACAGTCTCGGATTTCCGCCGTCGCCGCTAGGTTACGATACTCCCAGCCGTCGTTTGTGACGTAACATCTCCAATGTTCTATATATGTAAACCGTGAACTGCAGAATAATCCAAGATCGAGCAGAGGATGAAGAAGTTTCTTAATGCGGCGGTGCCTCTTTCGATGGAGGACAACGAGGCATTGAAAACTACTGATCAACTTTTTTACGGCAGACTGGGTCTAATGATCTCCGAAGTAGCCGAGCCGCAAATAAATCCTTTTAGTTTTTTAATTTTAAAATCTTTTTTGTTAGTTTTAAGATTGTTATTCCTTTTTATCTATGATTTCCCTCCCCCCGTTTTTCCCTACGTTTTTCTTTTATTCTCTAAGGAGCTGTCAACTAGGTCAGCTGGACTTTCGAACTATTGTCTAGTTTCAAATACTAGTTTCGTTGTTTTGCGTTCTTGAAATATACGATTTTGTTGAGGTAATGCCCGTAAAGCTGCTAGGTGGCAGCAGAACGCTATAAGCAACGTCGAATCTGAACAGAACAGAGAAGACAATCCCAGGACATAGAGCGTAAACAAAAAACAAAACAAAACACGGAAGACGATTTAAGTGGGCACGTCCGTGAAGTCACAAAAGTGGACTAGAAGTAAATTCATCCACCATGCGCATAGATGTTTTATACAAATGGCTCAGACTGGAATTTATAATACCCGGTGGCTTCTCTTCAGTTTTCCGGGTGACTAGATTGAGTTTTCGAGAGAAATTCTCCCAGAAATATATTCTTAATGGAAATGCTCCTTTCTTAACTCGCCCAAATGTGAAAGAGGAGCCTTGTTGATACCGACGCATTGCTCCTTTTTTCTGGGCAAAGCGTCAAGAAAAGACTCCAAGTTACTTAGCGGCGGAGCGATTTGCATTCCAACTCCAGCTATATAGTATCGCTCCAGGAAGTGACATGGAGCCCTTTTACTTCGGCTCTGTTGCTGTGGAAACGGTTGCTATGTGGGCGGCGCCGACAACCTTCCGAAGCGGCGGCAGAGACCAAGGTGGCCGCAAGATGAGTCAATCGGTGACCGTTGTTCGGCCGCTGGACCAAACTGGGATCCGGTATCGCAGGAAGATGGCTCCCAACCGGGCTTTTGATTTCCTTTATGGTAACCAAGGGGACGCTGATGGGGCTTGCTTTTCTAATAGCGGCCGGGGAAGTCAACTTTTCGGGAACCGACAGGCTTGATTTGGAAGGGCCCGCTGAGCCTCAAACCAGCCAGCCGATTTTAGTCCCGTTTGTGAAGTAATTCTGTGGTTCGGTGTATTCTGGACTAAGAAAATTGGATTGGTCATCCTAATTAAACTAAGTATTGGTAAAAACGTCCTGAAATCAGAGTCAGTGATAATGGTAGTTATAAAATCCAGCTCAAGAGCATATAGTCCCAATGGGAATCTGTACAATACACGAGAAAGGACAGTTGTGCTTTTGTATGGAAATAGGACCAGAATTACCATAGTATGGACTTTAAAGCCCATCAGAGGTATATTATAGCCTAAATTTTTCTATTGCAGGTAATCCTCGACTTGCAACCATTTGCTTAGTGACTGTTCAGAGTTACAATAGCACCGAAAAAAGTGTCTTAAGACCAGTTTACACACTTACGAGTGTGTGTCCTCATGGTCATGTGATCAAAATTTGGGTACTTGGCAAGTGGCATGTATGTATGACAGTTGGACTGTCCTAGGGTCATGTTACCATTATTTGTAATCTTCCCAGCTGGCTTCCAACAAGCAAAGTCAGTGGGGAAAGCCAGATTCACTTAGTGATCGCATGATTCACTTAACTGTGGCACAAAAAGCCGTAAAATGGGGCAAAACTCACTTAACTGTCTTGCTTAGCAATGAAAATTTGGGGCTCAGTTGTGGTCGTAAGTTGAGCACTACCTGTACTGTAATTGTTATAAACCATTCACACTCAAAATTAATCTACCGTATTTTTTGGAGTATAAGACGCACCTGAGTATAAGACTCACCTACCTTTTTTGGTTGTTGTTTTTTTTAAAGTTTTTTTTTATTTTTTAGACAAACACACATACAAACATACAATGTATTTTCTTTGAACAGAGTATTTGGCCGGTTCACAAATTTAAACAGTGTTTAGTCATTTCAATTAAATTTACAATTTCTATATTTCCTTTTTGCCATATTTATTCCTCATCTATTTTTTTAAAAAACCAATATTACCCTTTATCCTCATCTCTAATCTTAATCAAATTCAATTTTTCCCTTCTATTCTATATTATACCCCTTCCCATTGTCATCTATTTTTATATCCATCCTCACATTGGTTAATTATGTAATATTATAATTGTTTAATACAAATTCAACATTTTAATATAAATCAATTAGTTATATAACTATCTTTTTTGTATATTAATCAATACGAACATGAATATTCCAATTATTTCCATGCAATCCAATTTCTTACAAATCAATTAATTATATTTACCAATAATAATAAACCAAATAATTTTCCCCCTTATGTTACTCATTTTCACATCAACTCTCCCAATAACCCACATAGTTTTGCCCATATAACCTTCCAAATCACAACTTAATCATTTCTACTTTCATCACAATATATAATTAAAAATATTTCAGCCATTAAATTTCCCTAATTAAATTTAGAAATGTTCTACCTGTTAGCCAAGCTATAATTTAATCCTTTTTACTTTCACCACCATATACCATTAAAGGTATTTCAATTATTATAGTTTATACTTATTCATATTTCTAAAAAAAATAAGAAAATAAAAACTTATCATTGTCTAGATTTCAAAAATACAAAGACAAATATTCCAATTATTATTCATTTCATTTTTACAATCATGATTTCCCATTTATTTCTTATTTCTATTCATATTTCAATTCTAAATATGTATAACATTTTTCTCTTTCATTTCTTTTTCTTTTTCTCCCTTCCCATTTTTATTTTTGCCTTTTTCTTTCTCCTTTTTTTCTTTTGTGTTTTAAAATCTTGAACTCTCCTCTTTTGCCCTAAATTTCCCATTGTTTGCACCTACCTTTTTTGGTGAGGAAAAAGAGAAAAAGAAATCTCCCTCTGCCTCTGCTTAATTTTGCCTTCTTGCAGCAAACAGCCTGCTTTACTTTCAGTTTCGCTTTCAGCATAGATTGATTAGGGGGGGGGAAATCTGCAAGGAGATAAAAAATTTATCTCCTTGCAGCAAGCAGCAGAGCCTTGCGCAAAACAGCTGAGAGCAAATCAGTTGAGAGTCGGGAGGCCAATCCAATCAACTTGTGCTAATTAGCTGAAAGGAGCTGATTTTTCTTGCTGTTTGCTTGCAAGGAGGTAACTGCTGCGAGGCACAGGCCAAAGGGTGAGAACCGGCAGGCAGGTGGAGCTACATTCGGTGTATAAGACGCACCCAGATTTTCACCCCCTTTTGGGGGGTAAAAAGGTGCGTCTTATACTCCGAAAAATACGGTACTTACCTATAGAGTAATTTTAACTTGCATTTTGTATGCATTGTTTACCGTTTCATTGAGTAACTTGATTGCTTTTTGCGTTTTTCTACTCCACCTCATTTATAAAAAGACAAATATAAATAAAAGCTACTGAGAATTCCCAAAGTATCATCACAATTAATTTTCCATACCTACTTCTTACATCAGAATTTATACCAGAGTATGCAAGGTAGTTTCATCTTGAAATTAAACTCAAAGCCATATTAGAAAGGATATAAGTTATGAATAAATACATGCTTAACAAGATTGTCTAGTATAATATATTTTGTTAAATTTATTAAAGTATTTCCATTTCCATTTCCATTCCATTTCTGTATATGTATTTTAGATCCATTGTATGAGCTATCGAGTGAAAAAGATCATGCACAGGCAAATGTCCAAGCTCATCTTATTCATGATGAAATGGTAGGTGATTATAGTCTAAAACTATTTCTCACAGTACTTGTGTTTCTGTGAAAAATAACTTGCTGTTACTAGGTATTTTGAAATTTATTTCATAGGAAATATAACTTTAAAAAGAAAACATAGTTTCTACCTATATCTACATGATATTAGATTGTTGCATGATTTCTTTGAATAATATTGAGATGCTTATGTAAACAGAAATTTCCAACCTTTTTAGTACAGAGAAATGTACGTAATCCTCAATTTACAACAGTTCATTTAGTGACCATTCGAACTTACAATGGCACTGAAAAAAGTGACTTATGACCGTTTTTCACACTTACAACCATTGTAGCATCCCCATGGTCACGTGATCAAAATTTAGGCACTTGGCAACTGAATCGTATTTATGATGATCGCTGTGCCCTGGGTCGTGATCATTTTTTGCAAACTTCTAACAAGCAATGTCAATGGGAAATCCAGATTCACTCAATAACCGTATTACTAATTTAACAACTGCAATCATTCACTTAACAATTGTGGCATGAAAGGTCATAAAATGTGGCAAAATTCACTTAATTGTCTTGCCAAGCAACAGAAATTTTGGTCTCAGTTTCATAAGCCGAGGTACCTGAATAGTGGAATATATGTATGTATATATGTGTATATCTAAGGTAAATATAAAACTGTTAACTATCCAGCAGAGCAGAAAATTAAATTTGACAATTTTAAAGGTACTAATTGGTATAGTTTCAATTTACTTGTAATATTTTATTAGAGAGAAAATTCTGTTTTCACAAGCAGTTATTTCTGACTGGAAGGTACAGTAAATCCTATACTGGCAGTTGAATGTTTTAGTGATTTGAACAGTCTAAGAATAAACAAGTTTAAAACAAAAACAAAAAATCCCCACAAAAAAGAGAGTCCAAGTCTTAATATTTTTTTCACATAAATGATTTAAAACAAGTAGATTGTTAGACAATTATATATAGAATTATATTTGTATGTGTATATCCTAATTATATTTGTGTGAAAAAATAATTATATACAAATACAAATATAATTCTACTTAATGATAAT